TCAGGGGATGGCAATGTGCTTGTTGAGATCAGGGGCACAGGACCACGAGTTCCAGATTGAGACCCCAGGCTTTGTTCTGTTCTTGACTTTGACAAGACCTTGGGGCCTCAGTTTCTTCACCTGTCAGTGGGTGAAGGCAGAGTTGGGTTTAAGCATGTCCAAAATCCTCTCCACTCCTCAAATCACCAAAATAAATAAACAACAAAATATGATGTTTTTAAAACCTTTTTTTCTTAAAAAAAATTTAGGTAGGAAGAAACTTGCCTCCTTCAAAACCTGTCAGTTCTGAAAGCCTGCTAAATGATTTTATTTTCCGGATGTCTTATTTCTACAACGTCATCTTTTCTTTGCCATTATCTTCTGCAAATGCTTGGCTGACAGTCTTTTTCATCTTAGAAGTATTTTGAACATAATATGACTGTTTATTTAATGTCTCATGCACTTCAGAAGATAATGACCAGAAGAAGGGACTGTTTACCTATTTTTTTCCCAGCCCTGTAGCTCACTCAGCCCCAGACTTTGCAGACAGCCTACATTAATTTGTCTTTATTCTGTCAGTTTGGAGTTAAATGAGCACTTGTGAGCTTTTATTCTTTCTCTTCTGCACCCTGATGTGGGTATGTTGCCCAGACTTCTTGGCATTTACATTTTCCTCCCATGGGTTTCATCACCCAGACACAAATACTTTGCGGGGAAATCCATCAGGTGGTTGCAAAGTTGTAAAATAGAATAATATTTTAGTCTTGAGATTTTATATTATTTTATTTTATTTTTGCGGCAGGGGTAATTAGGTTTTATTTATTTATTTATTTAGAGGTGGTACTGGGGATTGAACCCAGGACCTCGTGCTTGCTAAGCATGTGCTCTACTGCTTTAGCTAGACCCTCCTCCTAGGCTTTAAAATATTTTTTTTTCTCCTCCCTGCTATCCTTAATGACATTTTAAAATAGTTGGTGGCAGATTTTTAGGTGTCAGGTATTTGTTACTTCAGAAATGATCCTCCCTGCGGCAAGCATATGCAGACGAAAACAACTGCCTCTTCAGTGTGTGTTTGTTGATGGTCTACTTTGTTCAGGTGCTGCATTGGTCCAGGGCACACAGCAAGGAATCGAGGCCCTGCAGCTGGTGGGAGAGACAAACCGGTACAAAAATAAGTCCAAAGGTAGGATAAGTGCTCTCCTAGAGGCGCTGACATGGGATGACATGGCACACTCCGGTACAAGAGCGAGTGATCAGCTCTGCCAAGACCGCTGGGTGTCATGAAGCTATTCTCCCACGTTCATTAACTTTAAAACCTTAGTACTTTGCTCCATAGACAATTTGTGAATTATTCCCTGAGGGGTGTTTCTACTCCATTTTCTCATTTGATACAGACCCACTGAACTCTGAGCCTCTTGGGAAGAAGCAGTTTCTTTGTATCTTCAGTGAATCAGGGTGTCTCAGCTTGAAGCCGGGCATACAGCAGGCCCATAATAAATACTTGCTGAACTCAGAAGTTGCGTTAACATTAATAGTTGTGCAACAGTGGCCACCCCGTTCAGTACTGACAGAAATAGTCCTCCTTCCTCTGATGATTCTACATTAAGGAGGTAGCTCAACATGAAATGTAGGCTGGGGATGGCCCCAGGGAGGTGGCATTTAAGGCACCCTCTAAAGGTTGTGAACCTTTTGAACTGGGAGAAAGCCAGGAAGTCCTAGAGTAGGTGAGCCTGACTATGACCAGGCTCCTGGAGTGAGTCATGAAATGAGTCTTGCTGTGTGAGGCAGGGGAGGGGGTGGGAGATATGCAGAAGGAGACATCCCTACGCAGAGGCTCCTTCCACAAGACGTGGGTTCCAGGCAAGTTTAAAACTGTGTGGTCATAATTCTGTGAAAAATTTTTTTTTGTCTTGTGGACTAGCAATTTTTTTTTGGTAGTGTATATCTGTTAATCTCTTATTCCTAATTATCCCTCCCCTCCGCCCCTTGACCTTTGGTGATTATAAATTTGTTTCCTATGTCTGAGGCAAATATTTTTTATTTGTATCTGTGAGCCTGTCTGTTTGTTCGTTTCCCATTCCCTATATTCAACTTGGACTGCTTCGGAAACTTTGGAAAGAAATAAAAAATTAGTCTGGATAGGCATGGATTGATGGATTAAAAACAAAACGTTTTGGGCAGAGGAGATGTGGTTAAACGGCAACAAGTGTGGAAAAAGAGGGCTGTTGGTTGGGGCTCAATGAAAGCTGGAGATGAGTAAGCAGTGCGTTCAGGCTGCTGCCCCCAGTGCTGATGTCATCTGGAGTATTGACAACACGGTCTTCCAGACACGTGGCCTGGTATCTGGAGGAAATAATCATAAATAAACCCACAGATTTATCAACAGATGTTCACTAGCATTTTATTTGTGAGTGAAAAGTGGAAGTAAATTAAATGTCCAACCATAGGGTTCAGAAGCCAATCATGATGTCGTACGAAGCTGTGAAAATTTTCATTAAGAATGTTTATGAAGAATAATTAGTAACATGGTATTTTTATATTACTAGATTACACTTATAAACATTAAAGCAGGAGGCTTTTGCCTAGAAAACTCTCCTTCAAAAGGCCGAAACAAAGGAGAATTAACAGATATAAAGTGGGAAAGGGTGTAGCTCAGGGGTAGAGTGTGTGCTTAGCACCTGGGCTCAATCCCCAGTACCTCCATTAAAAAAATAAATAAACCTAATTACTTACCCACCCTCAAAATAAATAAATAAATAAATAAATAAATAAATAAATAAATAAATAAATAAATAAATAAATAAAACAAAAAACAGATGTAAAGTGTTCTGATGAGGGAAGGTGTCTTGGTCTATTCAGGCTGCTATAACAAAATATCACAGACTGGGTAGTAATATACAACAGAAGTTTCTATCTCATAGTCCTGGAGGCTGGGAAGCCCAAGACCATGGTGCCGGCCTGGCCGGGTAAGGGCCCTCTTCCAGGTCATGGACTTCTAATGGTACCCTGATCATATTCTCACGTGATGGAGTGGGCTGGGGACCTCTCTGGAGCCTTTTCTGTAGGCACTAATCCCATTCACAAGGGCTCCACCTACTTAAGCACCTGCCAAAGGCCCCACCCACTAACATCAGCATATTGGAAGTTAGGATTTCAAAATATGCGTTTTGAGGGGACACAAATATTCAGACCACAGCAGAGAGGATGTTAGGCTTGCATTATGGGGCTCAGGAGGACCTCAGTGGATATTACAGGTGGAAGTTATAATCCAAAACAAAGGTTGGCTCTTAAAATTTTACTTTAATCTTTAGTTACAACATTGTATCAGCAGTAAAAATTTTGTAAAAAGGGAAACATTTTGGCCACAATTAGATTGCTTTAATGCCTCAGCTGTTACATTATCTTGTTCTCTCTGGTCTCTGTCAATTTGCGTGCATCCTTTTGGGGTGCAGTCATTGTCTAGTTCACAGACGGTTGGTAGTCATGTACAACTGTGCTCTCCTACACCATGGCCAATCCCAGTAACCGAGGGCCCCTGGAAGTGGCCTCTGGGTCTTTTTCATTGTATTTCTCTGAGAAGTCACAACCAACCACAATAAAACTGTCAACATCAAGCCAGGCATTGTTCCACAAGTTTTATTTAGATTAGTACATTCAAGCTTGTCTTAATAATCTTGTATTAAATGGGATAGTATTATTATCCCCATTTTACAGATGAAGAAACTGAGACCTAGAGTAGTTAAGTCATTTTGCCCAATTGAAAGCATTTGGTAGCGGAGTTGAAACTCTTCAGTCATCTTATAATTGATTTTATTAAGCATTATTTTTAAAAAACGAATAAGATATTATCAACAATTTCTATTTTGCTCTATGATTTTCAAAATTATAATGTGCTATGATTGTGTAAGAAATAAAAAATCTTCATTATAGTTAAGACTGACTAAAACTGGAATGAAGAAAAGATGTTTGTTATACTCATTTAAGCAAAAACTGGATAATCGCTCCTTAGGGATATTAGGTGGGTAGGGTTTACACCTGGGGTATGGAGTTAGATGAGGTTTCAGCTTAAAGCCTTTCCAACTTTGTAATTTTATGATTCTCTGAGTAGGTGGTACCTATCTGAGCTCTTTCATAAATCTTAAAGAATCTTCTGGAAACATGCATAACTCAAAACTGAAAACCCCTTTTCTTGTGTTAAGTGCATTTGCCAGCAGATGGTTGAAATTCTTTTAATTAAGGACAATGAATTAAAAATAAGGCTTAATTTTTAGGATAAGGAATTTTGACACATAATCATATTAAGAAGTACATGATAAAGGTGATTTTTTTCAAGAGGAGGCTTTGAAGTGAAGAGGGTAGAAAAACACTGCAGGGCCTTTATGACCTAATGAGATGAAATGGAGTGAGAGGAAGAAGCCTTCACTGAAGGGGTGAACAAGAGAAAAGGGAAGTCGTGGCCTCCCAACAGAAACTTCGCTACCTACCAGTGTGGCCTAGACCCAGTCCTGTTCGTCTCATGCAGTCACTGTTTTTATTTGATTCTGTTTTGATTGGTCTGAGGTGTGGTCTCGGCATCATTTAAAAAGTTTCCTAGGTGATTCTAATGTACAGCCAAACTTGAGAACCATTGTCCAATCCAGGTGTGTGTGTGTGTGTGTGGGGGGTGTGTATGTGTGTGTGTGTGTTTTAATTTCAGGTTTGTGGTCTTTCCAGCTGACACATTTTAATGGGCAATTGTCTTCATCCTCCATGGGAGGACTGCCTGTGCACCATAGATTCAGTAACGCTTTCTGGGTTGGCCCACCTGACTGACCCTTACCAGGGGCTGTGATGGGTGGTGGGCTGGGACACACAGGTTCATCTTGGGAATAAAAGTAGAAATGATGAACAATGCTTATTAAATAAAGCTGCAATGGGAGGAAAAACAATAGTGCTTCCTTTGAAAATTAAAATTTTGTTTGTTTGTTTGTTTTGCTTTGGGGGGAAGTAATTAGGTTTACTTATTTAGTTAGTTATTTCAATGGAGGTACTGGGGATTGAACCCAGGACCTCATACATGCAAAGCATGTACTCTAACCACTGAGCATATCCTCCCCTCTCCTGAAAATCAAAACCCTTCTTTGAAAAATGTCTGTATGATTGGCAAAACTCTAACTAGAGTCAGCAAGGAAAAAAGACAGAAATCACCAATATCAGGAGTGGAAGAGATTACATCATTAAATATCCTAAGTATAGACATTAAAAAGATAACAGGATAATAAAGAAATTGTATGGACAACTCAATGTCCATAAACTCAAAAATCTGGAAGAAATGAACAAATTTCCTTGAAGGAGATCACTTACCAAAACTGGCAGAAGAAGAAATGGAAAATATGAATAGTCCTATATCTATTAGAGAAAATTGCATTTGTAAGTACAAGTCTTTCCCTCAAAACAAATAAAACCCCAAGAAACCACTTCGGGTCAAAGCCATTCAAAAAATTTTGCTTTTAATTCATTCTTTCTCTCATTCCCTCCAAATCCAGATACTGGCTTTCTTAATATGAAATTTCATATTGGTGATATCCCTCAGTTCTACTTCAAGATGGCTTATTCCATTTAAGTGGTCATTTGCTTTATTATTATTATTATTTATTATTATTATTACTATTTTGCACTTATTTTAAATTAGCAGAACTTACCTTTCTGAGCATTACCATAAATACAATTACAGAAAAAAAAAAAGCATCCTTAAATATTATTTAAAGGGAAAGCAGGGTGCTTACTTGTCAGACAGCCTGACCTCTGGCCAGGCTGGGAAGCTTAGCCCTTCTGACCACAACTGCCCTCTTGAATCAGTTTTCTATGTATGTATTACGTTGATGAGTGCACCCTAGCAAATGGCTGCCAAGTTCTGGACTTTAAAAAATTAATTTCACTTCCTTCTCTTTTAAAGAACAAAGTAGTGACTGCCCTGGGAATATGTGAAGTTTCAGCACTCCAGTTGGCTTAGGATCCTGAATTGGTGCAGCCTGTTTGCCTGGTAATCTCCTTGTCCGAGTGAGTTGTTAGGGGTAACCAAAGGCAGCTGATTACTTAATTGCTGATGCCGGAAACCAGGTTTTTCATTAGTTCCCGTCAGGATCTTGAGAGCAGCCAGTGTTTGGCCTCGCCTGGTTTCCATCCTTTCTAATTCAGAAAGTGTATTTTTCCCTAATGTAGTCACTAAGGCTTCAGCCTGCTGAGTTGTACACAGAATCAGCTGCTTATTAAAAACAAGTTGAAAATTTTCTATAGTCAATGTAGATAATCGATTTAAGGCAGGTAAATGAAACCATCTTGTGTCATTCAGATACAATTTCGTTTTTTCTTTGAAGAGGCATAAAAGTGTTCCATGGTTCCTATTTCATTTTTGTTAGATCATTGAGGATACTTGAATACGTGGAATTAGTGAGTACCTAGTATTCATATCAAGCAGATTGATCTCTCAGTGGATCTGTTTTCTTATGTAGTCTATAGAGTGTTGTTTGTTACTGGCAAGTGCAGTTAAATTTAAGGTCCAAATTCAGTTATTTATATGGGTAGTAGTGTTTTGAGGACTTAAATTTGCCTTTAGATAATAAGCTTTTCCTTCCTCTCCCTCCCATCAACCCCATGTTTGGTTATTCTAACACCAAGGATATGAGAAACCAGTGCCAAAGCAACCAGTTGAAAAGGGAAACATTCACATAATTACTAGTTGTTTTGTCTACACAGTGTGAAACAAGAAGTTGGCATGATTTTTTTTCACCTTGTTGACAGTTTTGTTTTGTTTTGTTAGATTTCTTCGGACTGAAATGATTTGTTGAGTCAGTGTTGTGTAAATCAAACCCAATTCCACAACGCCTCTGTGACTGTTAGGCAGAAAAAAAAAAAAAAGCAAGTGAAGAATGAAAAGGGTAATTATACTGAATTCCAGGAGACCATGATTTTGTTCCAACTTTGTCACCAGCCAGTTACGTGACCTTGGGCAGGTCATTTTACCTCCTAGGGCCTCCATTTCCTTAAGAGTTAAATGAGGAGGCTGGGCAAGACAAGTTCTCAGGTGCGTGGAATTTCACCTTTGATTCTTTGACCAGGAGGATGCAGAATAAAGTGGTGTGATCCCCAGAGACCAGTTGGTTGGCTCAGGGAGAGAATCCATTTTGTAGTTAATTTTTAAAACCAGATCACAACTTTTGGCTGGGTTTTTAAGTTTAAAATCATCTTTTTTCTTATTACAAATTGATTCATGTTGCTTGAAGGAAACTTAGCAAATGCAAATGAGCAGAAAGAAAAAAATTTAAATCGTTTATAATCCTACACTGAGATAGAACTAACGTCAACAAGGTGTATGTATTTCCAGATTTATAAAGGTCACCTAAATACAGTCAGTTTTGGTAATGTTTGTTTTAAAAACTTAAGTTTGTTCCAACATGATTTATTAGGGAGCAATTTTAGCAGGTTCATGTACGCACAGTTTCTTCCAGGAGAAACACTGGGTGAACGCAGAAAATTGCACCCAGCTGTATTCACACACACACGCACACGCACACGCACACGCATACTGTACAGGCACCCTCACAAGGACAATGAGCCACAGTCATTCGTGTTACAACTTTTTGTCCCGAGTCAGATAACCCTCCTGCCACCGATTCTCCGTAACAGGCAACCTGTAACCCTTCCCTCCCCTGGAACCGGGACATTGCCCTCCCTGTCTTTAATTTCTCCTTCCTCTCAGCCTATTTTGTATTGTTCCTCCCTGTTCTCTGTTCATTTTCCTCTCTTTTACTTACTTTTCTCTCCCTGTTTTTCTCTCTCTTGTTTTTTGCCTCTCCCCCATGGGATGTGGGCATGGGAACCCGGTGGGCAGCCTGGCAGGCACACATCTGCTCTGGGTCTCTTTCAAGGTAAAGTGCTGTATTTATAAAATGCACATTTAACTTGTGTAAAACCGTGCTGTTGTTTTTTAATTAAGTTCCTTTTTTTTTTGCCGTCATCAACAGTTTTTAAGTGTTGTGCTGCACTCACTTTCCCATGTCTTGTAGTTTTTATTGCTCGATTTTTGCATAGTGCAGTAATAACTAAAACTCAGCAAATAAGAATAATTAATAACTGAATAATAATTAAATGATAAAAGGACAGTTAACCATCATTTATTTAAATAATTCTTTAACTAGTGATTTAATAAAGTACTGAATTATTAATTTTATGAAATTTCAGCCCATGAGTGCACGTCCTATTAGTATGCTGGGTGATGAAATAAGAAGCACTCATGAGGCACTTCTGCTGCAGACTGAAGTCACGGTGAACATCTGGAGGAAGAGCTCTTGAGCCATTGTTTGAGTTTCAGTTTCTCAGTTTAAATTTCAAATATAGCAAATATTAATAGATTCAACGCAAATACAAGCTCAGTGGTGCACTCAATAATTTGTTAGTGTAAAGGGGTCCTGAGACCAAACCATTTGAGAACACCTGCAAAATCCAGTCTCTCACAGCTTTTCATTCCTGCAGTGAAAGTATAACATTTCCTTAGTATAGACTCTCAGAAATGCAACTTCTGAGTCTAAGAATGAATACAAATACTATATGGTATCATTTAAATGTGGAATCTAAAAAACAAAACAAATGAATGAATTTAACAAAACAGAAACAGACTTGCAGATACAGAGAACAAACTAGTGGTTACCAGTGGGAGTGGGAAAAGGGGAGGGGCGTGATAGGGGTAGAGGATTAAAAGGTACAAACTATTATTTATAAAATAAATAAGCTACAAGGATATATCACACAGCACAGGGAATATAGCTGGTATTTATAATAACTATAAATGGAGGATAATCTTTAAAAATTGTGAATCACCATGCTGTACACTTGAAACTAATATAGTATTGTAAATCAGTTATACCTCAGTTTAAAAAAGAATGTGGATGAGTTCACAATGTCCTTTTTATTTTTTAGATTCCACATATAAGTGATATGGTATTTTTCTTTCTTTTTCTGGTTTATTTCACTTAGAATGACAATCTCTAGGTCCATTCATGTTGCTGCAACTGGCATTATTTTATTGTTTTCTATGGCTGAATAGTATTCCGTTGTATAAACATACCACAGCTTCTTTATCCAGTCATCTGTTGATGGACATTTAGGTTGTTTCCATGTCTTTGCTATTGTATATGGTGCTGCTATGAACATTGGGGTGCATGTATCACCAGAAATTGACACATTGTAACTGACTGTACTTCAGTAAAAATAAATAAATAAAAAATAAAATAAAAAAGGAATACAAAATTTTTTTACACATTTATCTATACAGTGCCAAATTGCCCTCCAGAAGTGTGGTACCAGATTATATTCTTACAATTAGCATCTGAGTATGTTCATTTAATTTTGGCTAAATGTAGTTAACATTCATAGGTCACTGAACATCAGCTAGAGTACAAAGGTGGGGATCATGTAAAAGTTCTCCCAACTTCTTAGAAATATTCGGAACTTTTATATTTTGAAGTTTAAAATGACTTTGAAATAGAGATATATCAGTAAATTTTAAGTCAGAGACAAGATCTCTTGTTTTGACCTCTTCTGAGAGGAAAACCCTAGAAGGGGACATTACAGACATCTACAAGACTCAAGTTCAAGGCTTGGTGTCAGAACAAACAGATGTACCTTTAAACATTGTTGTGGCCAAAGACATTGAGTCATAAACTGAAAGTTTTCCTTTAGAAAAATCACAGCCTGGGAGAAATACCATGAAAACACTACTTTTGAAATAGTTGAGCTTCTTAGAGTGAAAACACACGGAAATTGCTCTCCTGGTCCCCCTTGTCTTCCTTCTGGCCTTCCCTTTACCCCACCTCTCTTCTTCCCCTCCTAATTAGACCACTTGAGTCCACACTCTGAAGGAGGCTTTTCGAACAAGCTTGGTCTCTCCAAGAATTGAGAGCAGTCTGACAAAGCTGAAAGGGAGTTACAGAAGCAAAGCTGGTCTTCTGTCTCTCTTCTTTTGCCTTTCTTTGCCTTAATTAACCCAGATTTGAGTTCACATTCTTTTCTAATTTCTCTCAGATGCTCTCAGGCTGCTCTTATCCTGTAACATGACAT